ATGAACTTAACAAAGGTGATTAATTCGTTCCCTTCCTACCTTTGCCATTTCAGGGGGGTATAGGGTTTTATACAGTTTCAGGCCACCTGTCCCCCCCGCAACCACTGGGCATGGGGAAGAGATGGATAAGCCTTAAACACACATCACACACAGAGATCACACTAACGTAATGCATCAAATGAAAAAATAGCTCAGTCGATTAAGGCAGTGTCTGGGATGCTCCCGGACGCCGGTTCGAATCCTCGTCACGACCCTTGTGGATTTGTTCATCTTAAATCACACACATTTCCCTAACAACACAAAATACATAATAAATGCTTAGTTGGCACCTGACACTCAAGGGAGTTAAGAAGATGGTAATTATAGTTTGAACAATGGAAAAATCTTTTGAATTAGTTTTTTTCTTATATAAGACACAGCACACAAAGGGAGAGTGAGCAGTATATCATTAAACACAACTAAAGCTGAGGGCGACACAACAAGCTGCTTGAACTACAGGTTGTTGACATTACAGGCGTATATAGAGAATTATTTCAAAGTGGAGGCTCCTAGCAAGGCTCCTAGCAAGGCTCCTGGCAAGGCTCCTAGCAAGGCTCCTGGCAAAGGCTCCGATGTCGAAGGGTTTTCGTGTATGCACATGGGAGGGCCAGGTCGTCCACCCCTCCTGAGACAAACCAGGGAAGTGGTACCCCCTCGATAACGACCCCTGTATGGGTCGTTATCTACCAGCTATCTTAACAACCCGTCCTCTTAAAAATAACGTCACTTTTGGCTCGTATGCGCGTTATGGCCAAATTTGGACGTAATTTGAAATAAAATCGACTCACGAAAGGGACGTACTGTTCCGTTTTCTGTTTGAGTCGTCCGGCTTACTCGGCCAGCTTAGAAGAGGAAACTTTCCATTAACGTTTTTCATACCGTTTTGAAACTTTATGAGAATTTCCTGCCCACCTAACCTACCAGAGGACCCTTAACTTACTGTTGTTGAAAAAAAAATCCCAAATTTATTTTCATTTTCAAATTACGTCCAAATTTGGCCATACGGACAAACGGCCAAAAGCGACGTTCTTTTAATCCTAACTATGGCTCTCCCCGAAGCCTATACCATCTCCCCCCAACCCGTTCTCGCAAATTTAATAAGTCAATATTGACTTATTAGTTGCGTGCATAGGTGACATACTAAACATAATAGTTTCCCTTGAAAAGCTTCATAGAAAACACCGACCTTACCTAACCTACTTAGTATGTTAAAATAAGCATCTTATAGCTTCGTAATTACAATTGTTACTTAACCTATTATAGGTATAGGTTAAGTAATAATTGTAATTACGAAGCAATAAGATGCTTATCTTAACATACTAAGAAGGTTAGGTAAGGTCGGTGTTTTCTATGAAGCTTTTCAAGGGAAACTATTATGTTAAGTATGTCACCTATGCACATATTTAATAAGTCAATATTGACTTATTAAATTTGCGAGAACGGGTTGCTCCCCCACACCTTTCCCGCGCCTCACTTCAGGTTAGGATGAGGTATTTTCATGAGGCTTGAAACCGGTTTAGAATTCCATGTAAGCCTACAATACTCTCCCTATTTTAGTACAACCCTGTCGAGGTCTGGACGAGGACCGGGCCGCGGGGACGTTGAGCCCCGAAACCATCGCAAGGTAACCCTTCATCATGCCTAAGGTAGCTTCATAGCCTTGTACCGACTTAACAAATAACCAATTTCTTTACCTTAAATGTCTCATGGAACCAATTTTCATGAAAGGACTAAATTTAGGATGCAAATTATTTTTTTTTGGCGAAACATTGAGTGTGATTTTATATATGGATATTTTCTTATTAATAATATATGAAAGATCGTTATAAAATGTCAATAAATGTTCATATACTAAGAAAATTTTGAGGATATGGGACTAGCTTTGATATTATATATATATATATATATATATATATATATATATATATATATATATATATATATATATATGTCGTACCTAATAGCCAGAACGCACTTCTCAGCCTACTATTCAAGGCCCGATTTGCCTAATAAGCCAAGTTTTCATGAATTAATGTTTTTTCGTCTACCTAACCTACCTAACCTAACCTAACCTAGCTTTTTTTGGCTACCTAACCTAACCTTACCTATAAATATAGGTTAGGTTAGGTTAGGTAGGGTTGGTTAGGTTCGGTCATATATCTACGTTAATTTTAACTCCAATAAAAAAAATTGACCTCATACATAGAGAAAAGGGTTGCTTTATCATTTCATAAGAAAAAAATTATAGTAAATATATTAATTCAGGAAAACTTGGCTTATTAGGCAAATCGGGCCTTGAATAGTAGGCTGAGAAGTGAGTTCTGGCTACTAGGTACGACATATATATATATATATATATATATATATATATATATATATATATATATATATATATATATATATAAAGCTGCAATTGAACTGCCTTTTATACATTAATAGGAACTGAGGAGAAATAGTTCACCAGTGGTTGAGCGGAGCGTTGTGAAGCTGTTCTCTCTACCACCATCACTACCACCACTGGTGCTGGTGGCACTACCACCACTGGTGCTGGTGTCACTACCACCACTGGTGCCGGGCTGGCGGTGCGCACACACGGCTAACATCACCACCACAGCTCATTACACTTCTGACTCGCTCACAGGGGTTCACGGCACTTGTCCACCGCTGCTCACAGGGTGCACGGCACTTGTCCAGCGCTGCTCACAGGGGTGCACGGCATTTGTCCACCGCTGCTCACAGGGTGCACGGCACTTGTCCACCGCTGCTCACAGGGGTGCACGGCACTTGTCCAGCGCTGCTCACAGGGTGCACGGCACTTGGCCACCGCTGCTCACAGGGTGCACGGCACTTGTCCACCGCTGCTCACAGGGTGCACGGCACTTGTCCACCGCTGCTCACAGGGTGCACGGCACTTGTCCACCGCTGCTCACAGGGTGCACGGCACTTGTCCACCGCTGCTCACAGGGGTGCACGGCACTTGTCCACCGCTGCTCACAGGGGTGCACGGCACTTGTCCACCGCTGCTCACAGGGGTTCACGGCACTTGTCCACCGCTGCTCACAGGGGTTCACGGCACTTGTCCACCGCTGCTCACAGGGTGCACGGCACTTGTCCAGCGCTGCTCACAGGGTGCACGGCACTTGTCCACCGCTGCTCACAGGGGTGCACGGCACTTGTCCAGCGCTGCTCACAGGGTGCACGGCACTTGTCCAGCGCTGCTCACAGGGTGCACGGCACTTGTCCACCGCTGCTCACAGGGTGCACGGCACTTGGCCACCGCTGCTCACAGGGGTGCACGGCACTTGTCCAGCGCTGCTCACAGGGGTGCACGGCACTTGTCCAGCGCTGCTCACAGGGTGCACGGCACTTGTCCAGCGCTGCTCACAGGGGTGCACGGCACTTGTCCAGCGCTGCTCACAGGGTGCACGGCACTTGTCCAGCGCTGCTCACAGGGTGCACGGCACTTGTCCAGCGCTGCTCACAGGGTGCACGGCACTTGTCCACCGCTGCTCACAGGATGGGAGTCACTTCTCCAAAGCTCACAGAACAATTGTCACACTCTCTACCGTTCTCCACAACGCACACAATCACTATCCTGAACCCACAATCACTATCCTCGCATCACTCATATGGTTAGGTATCATTTCCTAGCAGCACAATCCCCAAACTCGCGCCCTCATCACAGCATAACGTCAGCACTCTCCCCCCCTCGCGGGCTGAGACACGACCCCACACCACCGCTACTCCCGTGAGCACAAGCGAGGCCTCCGCTACACATCACCTCAGCCACCACTGACAACCATTCAACCGGTGGCGGGGTTTTCTCCCTGTGGGAGAGGAGTAGTGGACGCCGCGCACTGCCCCAGACCCAGTACCTAGCCCCCCTCTGCCCGCCCCCCCACTACCACACCCCCACACACCACTGCGCACCACCACCGGCGCACTCTTGGATCCGGGCACGGCGGGCGCGTCCTACCCCCGAGACGGGGCACTGCCCGTATACCCGGGCAACGATTGGTGCTTCCTATTGATGACGGGGAGTCAGGTGTGTGCTGCACATGTGGAGCAGTGGGGCACGTGCTGCACATGTGGAGCAGTGGGGCACGTGCTATGGAACGAGCAGATGTGCTGGCTGCTGAAGGAGACCATATTGAATACTTCATACCCAAGACTCTACTACACATTAGAGGTATTGTCAGGCAACATCACCGTGACAAGGTAACTGAGGAAAGTAGGATAGAAGCACAAACCAGTGAATCTGTACGATGGTACAACATGGTTGCAGCTACCAATCCCAGTCATTATGGCCGAAGAGGAGGAGGACGAGGGAGAGAATCAGTAATAGCGAGAATCCGTCTTGGATACAAATATCCATGGAGATATGGAATGGAAACAACAGTTGATCAGCGGAGTTGCAGAATCTGTGGCGAGAGTGATGGACACCGCCTTGACCACTATCTACGTGAATGTGAACACCTGAGAGACATTAGGAATATGTGTAGAATAATAAACCCCACATTGTTTGAGTTAGGAAAACACTATTTGTCAAATATTGATACTGTTCTTAAAAGATTCCCCCATTTTGCACCCGCAAGATAACTTAAGATTTTAAGGGTTGACAGATGTTAATCTTCTTGTTTGAGGAGCTGTTGACTTGAGACAGTTAAGCAAGTCCCAGCTGTGTCTGGGTACAAGTGACAGGATGAACAACCCAGCGGGTTTTCTTCCTATTGGGGAGTGTTGTACATGCTGCTATGACGGTGTGTCCACTCACAGGATGAGTAACGCTGCCCAATACTGTCACTATGGCGGTGTGTCCACTCACAGGATGAGTGGCGCTGCCCAATACTGTCACTATGGCGGTGTATTCTGCCTACCTCCGCATATTGGATCGGTTGGTTATCAAGGATGATGGGGTCCGGGTTTCTTTTCGCAATGTGTATTATCTGAAACTTTTGTTTGTTGGTGCTAATTTTCCATTGCTTCTCAAAGTTGTTTATGAGTTCAATTGCCGCCTTGGTCTTGTCGGCCAGTAGCGGCTTTGATGGGCCCGGTTGGCATATTATTTGGGTGACATCGTCAGCGTATGAGATGTATTCTCCATGTTGGGGTTGGGGTAGGTCAGCTGTATATATGTTGAATAGAGTGGGGGAGAGGCAGCTTCCTTGTGGTACTCCACTTTTCAGTTCTATTACGTCACCCAAGTAACTGCCGATATTAAGTCTAGCAGTTCTATTGTCTATAAAGCTGCAGAGAGTAGCAGTAAATCTCTCAGGAAGCCCTAGTTCAGATGTCTTATATTTTAGGCCTGTGTGCCACACTTTGTCGAAGGCTTTCGAAACGTCTCTAAGCACTATATTACACTGATGTTTTGTCGACACTGTTGGCTATATGCTGGTAGATCAAGGCTATAGCTGTGTGGAGGCAGGGCCAGGGTGACACAGGGCCAGGCTGGTGCAGGGGGAGGCAGGGCCAGGGTGACAGAGGGCCAGGGTGACAGAGGGGTCAGGGTGACAGAGGGGCCAGGGTGACAGAGGGGCCAGGGTGACAGAGGGGGCCAGGGTGACAGAGGGGCCAGGGTGACAGAGGGGCCAGAGTGACAGAGGGGCCAAGGTGCCCACGTCAGCCAACATCACCCCGCAACAAACAGGACACAGGGAGGAGAGCTGCACATACCTCCGCCTCACTGTTATTATTATGACACCAGCCAGCACATCCCTGTGTACTCTCCTAGTTGTGCTTGTGGAGCTCTGGCTCTTTGGTCCCGCCTCTCAACTGTCAATCAACTGGTGTACAGATTCCTGAACCTGCTTGATACCCGCTTGATGGGGTTCTGGGAGTTGTTCTACTGCCCAAGCCCGGCCCGAGGCCAGGCTTGACTTGTGAGAGTTTGGTCCACCAGGCTGTTGCTTGGAGCGGCCCGCAGGCCCACATACCCACCACAGCCCGGCTGATCCGGAACTTCTCTTAGGAAACGGTCTAGTTTTCTCTTGAAGATGTCCACGGTTGTTCCGGCAATATTTCTTATAGTCGCCTAGTAGCCCTATAGTAGCCTATTGGGCTCTATCATATCTACACTTGAAACTGTGTATGGAGTCAGCCTCCACCACATCACTGCCTAATGCATTCCATTTGTCAACTACTCTGACACTGAAAGAAATCTTTCTAATGCCTCTGTGGCTCATTTGGGCACTCAGTTTCCACCTGTGTCCCCTAGTGCGTATACCCCTTGTGTTAAATAGCCTGTCTCTGTTTACCCTGTCACTTCCTCTGAGAATCTTATATATGTGGTGATCATGTCCCCTCTAACTCTTCTGTCTTCCAGTGACGAAGTTTAATTCCCGTAGTCTCTCCTCGTAGCTCATACCTCTCAGCTTGGGTACTAGTCTGGTGGCAAACCTTTGAACCTTTTCCAGTTTGGTCTTATCCTTGACTAGATATGGACTCCATGCTGGAGCTGCATACTCCAGGATTGGTCTGACATATGTGGTATATAATGTTCTGAATTGTCCTTACACAATTATAATGTCCTTACACAAATTTCTAAAGGCACTTCTAACGTTGGCCAGCCTGGCATACGCCGCTGATGATATCCTCTTGATGTTAGCTACTACCATATTGTCTTATTATTAACGCCTAGACTAGTTAACATTTCCACAGGTTCTAAACCAAAGCTGCTTGTCGCAGTCAAGGCTCCAGAACAATTATAAACAACGTCTGTAAACAACGACCCAAATGTGTCAAGCAATTTTTCCCATCAACTCCCTATTTTCAATCTAGTATTCACCTATTTTCTGAACTTATTTTAATCCAATTTCTTCCGTATTGTCCTTATCATTTTCTAATCATAATTGTCCTACCTTAGTTCAATATATAATTTTATATATATATTTTTTTATTTTGCCCCGAGGGGCGAGTTTATTGGGCAGCGTTACTCATCCTGTGAGTGAACACACCGCCATGGTGACAGTATTGGGCAGCGCCACTCATCCTGTGAGTGGACACACCGACATAGTGACAGTATTGGGCAGCGTCACTCATCCTGTGAGTGGACACACCGCCATAGTGACAGTATTGGGCAGCGCCACTCATCCTGTGAGTGGACACACCGCCATAGTGACAGTATTGGGCAGCGCCACTCATCCTGTGAGTGGACACACCGCCATAGTGACAGTATTGGGCAGCGCCACTCATCCTGTGAGTGGACACACCGCCATAGTGACAGTATTGGGCAGCGCCACTCATCCTGTGAGTGGACACACCGCCATAGTGACAGTATTGGGCAGCGCCACTCATCCTGTGAGTGGACACACCACCATAGTGACAGTATTGGGCAGCGCCACTCATCCTGTGAGTGGACACACCGCCATAGTGACAGTATTGGGCAGCGCCACTCATCCTGTGAGTGGACACACCGCCATAGTGACAGTATTAGGCAGCGCCACTCATCCTGTGAGTGGACACACCGCCATAGTGACAGTATTGGGCAGCGCCACTCATCCTGTGAGTGGACACACCGCCATAGTGACAGTATTGGGCAGCGCCACTCATCCTGTGAGTGGACACACCGCCATAGTGACAGTATTGGGCAGCGCCACTCATCCTGTGAGTGGACACACCGCCATAGTGACAGTATTGGGCAGCGCCACTCATCCTGTGAGTGGACACACCGCCATAGTGACAGTATTGGGCAGCGCCACTCATCCTGTGAGTGGACACACCGCCATAGTGACAGTATTGGGCAGCGCCACTCATCCTGTGAGTGGACACACCGCCATAGTGACAGTATTGGGCAGCGCCACTCATCCTGTGAGTGGACACACCGCCATAGTGACAGTATTGGGCAGCGCCACTCATCCTGTGAGTGGACACACCGCCATAGTGACAGTATTGGGCAGCGTCACTCATCCTGTGAGTGGACACACCGCCATAGTGACAGTATTGGGCAGCGCCACTCATCCTGTGAGTGGACACACCGCCATAGTGACAGTATTGGGCAGCGCCACTCATCCTGTGAGTGGACACACCGCCATAGTGACAGTATTGGGCAGCGCCACTCATCCTGTGAGTGGACACACCGCCATAGTGACAGTATTGGGCAGCGCCACTCATCCTGTGAGTGGACACACCGCCATAGCAGCATGTACAATACACTCCCCAATAGGAAGAAAACCCGCTGGGTTGTTCTATAAATATATGTTTCGTGTACTGTATTATGTTGCTATATTAGTCATTCTATTAATATCGCCCTAGTTATGCTCTGTCAAACGTCTGTTGTGTAGCAGGTGATATGACACACACACACACACACACACACACACACACACACACACACACACACACACACACATGATGTTATGATAAAGTAACAAGGATAAGGCAGGACAGAGAAGGCTGGGCAGACTGCATATTTCTTGACTGCCAAAAGGCCTTTGATACGGTACCGCACATGAGACTGCTATACAAACTTGAGAGGCAGGCAGGAGTAAGCGGAAAGGCCCTAGTATGGGTGAAGAACTACCTAACAGGAAGGAGCCAGAGGGTAATGGTAAGGGGCGAAAAGTCGGACTGGCGAACAGTAACAAGTGGAGTACCTCAAGGATCGGTGCTGGGACCAATCCTCTTTCTTCTATTTACGTAAATGATATGTTTACAGGAGTGGAATCATACATGTCGATGTTTGCAGATGACGCAAAATTAATGAAAGAGTTGTGACAGACGAGGATTGTAGATCCTCCAAGAGGACTTAAACAGCTGCAGAGATGGTCAGAGAAATGGCTACTGGAGTTTAACACCAGTAAATGTAAAGTTATGGAAATGGGATCAGGTGACAGGAGACCAAAG